AATGAAATGTGTAAACAAACTGGTAATGATACAATGAAATGTGTAAACAAACTGGTAATGATACAATGAAATGTGTAAACAAACTGGTAATGATACAATGAAATATTGACATGTACACAATAAATGTGCACATGCCGAATGGTTGTTTACATATAAGAAATCATTTGCTTGGTTGCTCAGTCACTGTGCAAATAGGTATGTTACATGAGCCTTTGCGTTTTTTTAAAGCCACTGCACTCTTGTTTGTAAATCTTATTTTTTTCAAATTTTTTACTGTGTCTGAACTACACTGATTCCAGAGAGATGAAAGGGCGGCAGTCGTCGTGCCACGTCCTGTTCTGATATGGGACTCATAGCGACTTATACAACGTGTGTAAAATGCATTGTTTATTTACATGAAATTCGAACACGCGCTGCGAGACGACCACCGCACTTGAAGTAACTCAAAATATATATATTGATTTGTTTTGTTTTTCAGGCCTGCTGGTGGCAACAGTACAGAATGGATGTTAATAGAATTGCAAGGTGAATTGGTGTCAAGACTGCAATCACATCTTGCTGGTAACTTTATTGGTGATCTTCATTTCAACCATAAGGTATGGACTGACATAGTCACATAGTATATATGTAGCACAGATAAGGGGAAGGGTTTACTTCCAAGAGAAAGGTTTTAGCGATGTGCTCCCAAATAAGGTCTTAGTTTGAGTCTCAAAGGGGTTCAACTCTTGTAGTTTTTGTCCAAAAGGGGATGTGACCTGAGTGAGCTCAGTGAACAGTAAAATTCAAGTCATCTGAACAGCAGTTACAAAAGTTTTTTTTTTTTTAATAATGCTGATATACAAGCTTCAATATTTCTGCTGTTTATGTCCACAGGGTACACCTATACTAATTATTGGTCACCACATATTGTATGGAAAGGCCATTGACCTGGATAAACCTTACTGTGTTCTCATCAAAAACGAATCTTCATCTGATGATGTTGCCATGGACATAGATCACAGTAGTCGGGGAACTCATTACACAGTCAAAGCTGTGGTGAAAAGGAAGCTACAGTTCAGAAACAGACCTAAGCCAATCATTGCAAATGTTCCAAAGAAAGTATGAAGTTGCTAATTGGGACGTAGACTTTTGACTAGACAGGCTACATAGTTTAAATGCGATACACAATAGTATTATTGTCTCAGACTGTCCTACTAGATGTGGTATAAAGTGGAAAAATTATTGCTTTTGTCTTGTAATACATGTAGATTATGTGGAGAAAGACAATATATGTTTATTTAAATTTAAATTTTCTGTGTGTTTGATGTAATATAATTTGGAAATTACATGACTTGTCCCTTTGCTTTCTGATTCAATAATTCCTAATTATTCTGTATCATTGAGAATGTTGTTGCATTTCTTAGCCATATAGTTTAAGTTTATTCTGTTATAAAGTGTAGGCTTGCCAATCTGTATTTGCTACAACAACAAAAACGGTGTCCCAATCATTTTTTTAGAAGATTTATTGAAAAATAAATTTTACAATGATTTGAAATAAGATGATAGTTGATTATTGCATTTTTAGTCAGTCTTTCTAGAAAAAATGTATCCTTTATGGCTGGAGTGATAGCTCATATCAAATTAAAAGTTATGTAACAATGTGTTAAGAAGAATAGTACTACCGGTATTTGTTATGTGATGCAATTTTTCTGATTTGTTGATACCAGACATTTTCTTTCAACGTGAGTGAATCACAAAATTTCACCAGGGAAACTAAAAAAAACGTGTCACTTCAGCCATTTCCAAAAAGTAAAACATGTGTTCTATTAGAATAGTAGTGCATATAAATCAAAAAATATATTACGTTCATTTTGACCATAAACATGTGCACCACTAATACAGCAAATACCAAAATCATACTAGGCCAAAATGACCTTTGAAACACCAAATAAGTATTGTTAGAATGTAAATGGGGAACTATACATGTTCAAGAGAAGGACATGTACAATTAGAATGAGGAGGGGGCAGGCATTTACAGAAATGTTGTCATCAGGTAACTAGTGTTAGTACCAAATACACTGGCAAACAAAAATGAATGCTAGTGCATTATACTGTACCTGCAAGTGTAAAAAACTGATAAGCCCAGTCAAAAAAATATTTGTTTTTTATTGCCACACTCATCAGTTAGAAATGTAATGGAATAATCCTGAAATTGAAATAAAGGCACTATATAAATAACAATTTTAAAATAAAAGCTCGCACATTTTTTTACTCCTGTGTGCGAAGCACACAATGGGAGTCTTTGCAGTTAGTGTGGGTGTGTGTGTGTGGGTGTGTGTATGTGTGTGTGTGTATGTGTGTCTGTCTATTCCACTGATATCTCAAGAACCATAAATCAGTTTTTGTTGAAACTTTGTACATAGATCCTCTGGGCTAATGCGCAGATTTGGTCAGGTTTTGGTAAAATTTCATGCATATTAATTACCTAATTTGCATGATAATAAGCTAATTTTTAGCTGTTCCATGATTGTTCCATTGATATCTAAAGAACCACTTATTGGATTTTGATGAAACTTGGTACATGGATGCTCTGAACTAATGCTTGGTTTTGATTAGTTTTTGGTAAAAATTACCTAATATGCATAATGATTAGTCAATTTTCGGTTTTTCCACTGATATCTCAAGTACTAATCATCACATTTCAATGAAACTTGGTAAATAGATGTCATAGGACACTGCACAGACCTGATAGTTTTTAGGGTAATGTCAGTGCATATTAATTACCTAATTTGCATAATTAATTAATTTTCAGCTTTTGATGTTTCAAGTAGTAAGCATTACATTTCAATAAAACTTGGTACATAATTTCTCTACTATGCAGAGATTGTTTTGGGATAAATATTTGTGCATATTAATTACCTAATTTGCATAATTAGTTAATTTTCAGCTTTCCCACAGATATCTCAAGTACTAATTATCACATTGCAATGAAACTTGGTACATAGATCCTTTAGGGACTATCCAGAGACCTGATTAGTTTTAGGGTAAATAATTGTGTATATTAATTACCTAATTTGCATAATTAATTAATTTTCAGCTTTCACACTGATTTCTAATCACACTTCAATGAAACTTTGTACATGGATGCTGTAGGACAATAGACAGACCTGGGTAATTGTGGGTTAAAATCTGTACATATTTATTACTAATTTGCATAATTAACCACTTTTAAGCTATCATACTGATATCTAAAGTACTAATTATTCCATTTCAATGAAACTTAGTGTAAAGATGCTCTAGGACAATGTACAAACCTAATTAGTTTGGGGTTAAAATCTGTTTATATTAATTTCCTAATAAGCATAATAATTTATATTTTTTTTTGGTTTCAATAAAACTTGGTACATAGATGGTATGTTACATTGCGCAGACCTCATTAGTTTTCCATTAAAATCTGTTCATATTAATTTTCTGATTTGCATTATTAGTTTTTGGCTTTTTCATCACTATTACTATCTCTGACAAGTAATTTTGAATTATATCTAATGTGTCTCCAATACTCTCAGCACATGGGAGTTCTTTCTAAGCTTTCTTTGATTTACTCCTGTGTGCTTCGCACACAAAGGGAGTCTTTGCAGTTAGTGTGTGTGTCTGTTCCACTGATATCTCAAAACCATGTATCGTTTTTTTATGAAACTTGGTGCATAGATGCTCTGGCAAATGCGCAGATTTGATCAGGTTTTGGTAGAAATCCATGCATATTAATTACCTAATTTGCATGATAATTAACTAATTTTTAGCTGTTCCATGACTATTCCACTGATATCTAAACAGCCACTCATTGGTTTTTGAGGAAACTTGGTTTATAAATGCTCTGTACTAATGTTCAGATTTGATTAGTTTGAGGTTAAAATCTATGCATATTATTACCTAATTTGCATAGTGATTAGTAAATTTTCGGCTTTTCCACCGATATCTCAGGTACTAATCACATTTCAAAGAAATTTACATAGATACATAGGAAGATGCATAGACAGATATGTGAAATATTAATTACCTAATTTGCATAATTAATCAATTTTAAGCTTTTGATATTTCAAGTACTATTACTTCATTACTTTTCAATGAAACTTTGTACATAGGTGCTCTAAAAGACCTGATTAACTTTAAGTAAAAATGTGTGCATATTAATCACCTAATTTGCATAATTAGTTAATTTTTGGCTTTTACACTGATATCGCAAGTACTACTTATCCCATTTCAATGAATCTTGGTTCATGGATGTTCTAGGACAATGCACACATTCGCTTCGTTTTGGGTTAAAATATGATCATATTAATCTGCATAATAAATCATAACTTTTGGTTCTAATCACATTTCAATGAAACTTCGTACATAGATGGTCTGTGACAATTCAATGAATCTTGGTACATGTGTACAATGTGATGATCAAATTTAGGTTTATATACATCTATAATAATTACCTTATTTGCATAATAATTTACTTTTCAGCTTTCCACTAATTTAGTCAGGATTAATCGTCACATTATAATGAAACTAATAATTCATTTGGTTCATTGAGGTAACCCATGGACATGATTAGTTTAATGTTGTTTAAAATACAACCAAGTATTTACATATACATGTAAATGTAAGAATGCATTATATTTTGTGTCTAGGAATCTTTGAGGAATAGACTTCCTGATTGACTTTTTTTTATTTTATCAAAACTACTTTTCGTTAGACAGTTTGCCCCTGCTGACTGAGGGCGCTGCTGTTTATGCATTGGTATAACACAAAGTTCGTTCACACTGCTAGTCTGTTATTGGAACGCATATTACCATTGTATTTAAAGTTGGTGTTTTCTATTTGCAATTGAAAGTGAATACCCTGGGCGCCCACTCACTGTTGGTTAAATCTTAAAGCTGACGTCATAATTTGCATACAATGTAGGCTGAATGTAATAGACGTCTAGTTGATTAATAACATGTAGCCCTATCAGTCTCGGTGACGTAGGCTGTCAGCTGTTGGACTAATGATAAGACTCGAGGACCGGCTCGATCACTCCGAGCACAGCTGATCACAAGAAAAGACGTATCGATGATACCGCAGCTTGGCAGAACATTGATAATTTTGTCTCTTAATATGCAATCCTGGTAACGCATGCTATTAATATTTTTTAATTTTTATTTTGCGTTTTTTTTTTAAATCTGCCAAGTAAAAATTTGCTGTGTCGCTGCTGCCAGTGATTTTATTCCGATATTTTTCTGCCGCTGGTTTATGTCGACCATTAGAATATACTTCGCCAAAATCGTTATGTCCGCCAAAAGAAATATCATCATTATGATGTGCGTCGCCACTGTCATCGTGGGTATTTATTATGCATTCTTCAACCACGCAGATGCTGTTGACATTTTACAGGCCAACAAAGCGCTTATGAAAAAACACGGTAGCCTACAAGCCTCGAGTGTTCAGCGTAAAATATCCGCTGCTGCAATATACATAGAGTTTGAGCGTAACAATGGGTCGACGTCAAATCAGAATGAAGTCTCTGATTACCACAACCACCATCTAGAGGCATCGAAAGAAATCATGAACTATAATAATGAAACTAAGACAATAGACAGTACAAACTCTGGAATAGAATCACGCGAGTATGATGGTAATGATGCTGATGATAATGCGATATCGGAGAACGAAATTCGGGTTAACGACATCAAGCCAAGTCAGGACTCTTCGGACTTTGATTGGGATGGATGGGTTGCTAAGAACGACTATGTCGCCATCGGAGGTATTTACAATAGATGTGGTAAGTTTTTTTCTCTCGCTAAGATCAGAGTTTCATTCACATACACGCAAATGATTGTTTGAAACTTATTTCAATTCAGAAGTTGCATAATACAAAACTGTGTTTGGTAGCGCCTTTGTTCATGTCATTCATCTTAGAGCAAGTAAAAGTAACGACTTGCTTCCTCGACTGCTTACCATTGTTCATAACCTTGTTTACAGTCGGAAGTCGACTTTAATGTGCTCATTGGAGGAGCATTTCATATTGGATTGCGTAGTGTATTGTGTTTTAATTCGACTGACCATGACCTATGACCCGCATAACTATAAAAAAATGTTGAATGGCAATGTGCTCCGAGACGTCAGGGCCGTTTTTAGCTGCACGGGTGATGTGTTGAGTGCAGTTATCACGGGGACGTTAGTAATTACCATATGATAATAGTAGCAAACCACGGCGATGCATTCTGAGGCTTGAGCTAGTTGGTACGCCATCGTGCGACATTCGTATGTAAATCATCCTGAACGCCGGCTATCGATTGTGTAGTACCCCTTTAAAAACCACAAGAGTACAGGATTATTTATATTTAATAACTCAGATATATTCAATTGTCCGCACTTGACCTCCGATAATGATATGTAAAATAAGTAACACAGAGATATACATGTCGTAGTAGAGGCAGTAATAATATTAATGCGGGTGGATCGTGTGTGAATAATTAACAAAATTTGATAAAACATTTGCCTTTTAATTAACCGCCTGCTCGGTAATTCCTTGTAAGGGCGCATTTTCATTTGTGGAAAAGTAATTTATTAAAAATTATAAAATGATCAGGTTGAATTTAAATAATGGTTTTGTACGGGTGTTTGTATTATTTGTTTGGCCCTTCTTTTGAACACGTCACGGTTTTTGCAATGTTTTACTGGCCAACAAACGGGTTGTTAAAGTTATTAAATATTTGTTCATGACAAATTTTATCTTTGGAAACGTTCTGAATATAAATAATATGTTCTATAATACAGAAACCTGTTTACGCTGTTGGCGCGTCCGTCATTAATATGGACATTGACCGAATGGAAGTCGAATTGTTTCAACATTGGCCCAAATCGCTGATTACACTGTAATTTGTTTTATCATATTTGTTTTCATGTCCTCGACATTTGCTTTTATTTCACTTGGATAGTTGTCTGAAATAAATATTTGATTATAAGAACAAGCTGTCGTCACAATTTTCATCTCTGCTATAAATCTTTGGTTTGCGTGTAAATATAAAACAATATTTTTGTCCCATCGTCCCTACTCAAGATCGGCCGCTGGTATTCGATCTATCATAATCACGAAGAAAAGTATATGAGAATTGTTACATAATTATTATTAAATGTTAGTGTCCACATCTGATATGTTCACACTATGAATCAGAACATTGTTACAATAGGAATCAACGGTGAATTGTTCAATGCTTCGTGCGAAAAGTAGTTCGATGACCTTGGGTTTTTATCAGGATTCTGTGACCCGTGACAATATCATGTAAAATCATGATGAAATCGCAGTACCTGTAGGACTGTCTAGCGCGAAGTTCACGGCTCAATCACGTGCACCATCTTATCAAAACATCGATAAACAATCAATCAATCAATCAATCAGCTCTTCTGCCAATCATTGCCAGCTGCTTTACTCGGACTATTTGCAGTAGCGATAGAGTTTGTGAGCTCAGCGAACTAATCCAAATATAACACTTATTGGATCATCTCATTATAGATTTGAATAGACATTGGCGGATTAGTAACATCTATGTCATGTCATGTCATGTAAGGTCATGTCATGTCATGTAAGGTCATTGTATTTATGTACATTGACCCGGTACCATTTCGAACCAACTACAATGAGAGGTTGTTAACAGACGAGTTGGTCCTGTTATTTGTACAGATAGTGATCGATAACACATGTATTGTTGTCTACTGTGTCTTTAAACAGATAAGGGGGCAACCGCAAGATAACCTCAGCCCATCACATAAAACAAATCAAACCTGTCTGGTGATATAGTGAAAAGATCGGTCGTACTGTTAAATTAAGTAGCATGGTATTAAACAGTGTGCGCTAGTCTTACAGTTTATAAAAAAGCAATATGTTGACTTTTACAAACATGATATAACGTACATATTTTAATTCTTACTAAAAATGTATTTATTGATAATACCGACAAGATTTATAGAATGTCGTACGACATAGTATGTTGCAATAGCAGATACAAAAAACGAATACGTGTAAGTTAATGATCGATGTGATAGAATGAAAAAAAAATAAAACTATATAAATGCCAGATTTAATCTTTGGGATTACACCATTGAATTACGATATTCACTGATATAATGTTATGTTGTGCATTCATCATGTTATTGTATTCTAAATTTATTTGATGGTGTGAAAACACCATGTTATGGTGTGTAGCTATCATATTATGGTGGCACTCTTTGTTGTGTTGTGCATTCATCATGTTAGTGTGTGCATTCGCCGAGTTATGGTGTGCATTTATTATGTTATGATGTGCATTTATTAAAGTGTTTTACCGAGCTTTCTTCGTAATATCTCGCTTGATATTTCAGAATGTCCATTTACAAATTACACAACTGGTTTATATAAATTATAATTAGATTTTTGTCTACGCTGTTTTGACGCTAAAGTACACTCCGAATGTTATGAATACCTCGAAAACCTTCATAATATTGTGAATGAACATAGCAAAATAGTTGATGCTAAGCTTGTCATTACTATTCATGAATTTTCCTTCTGAAATGCCTAATTATATTATTTTTACAATCAAATAACTCATCACCAACCTTCCCATAGTAATGGCTCATCCGGGAACTTTGTTATATTGTGAAACTTCATATCAAGTTACGTATATTGCATATCTTACAAAACATGGTTATTCAAATCACTGGATTGGATTATGTCACGGTTATTGGTTATATTATTGAATTGAATATACATGACCCCCCCCCTCCCCAAACGGTTACTAATTATCTACAATGCACTGAGACAACAAAACGAGATGATTTCTGCGCCAATAATTATTATTGATGAACTTGTATCGTTTGTTCTCAGATTCGCCAGACAAAACAATGGGGAAAGTGCTGCTCATGGAAGATAAAGAACTTGGTGGAATTAAGACTGTCTTGGTATTTAATATAACCTGGGGTGTGTATTCGGTATTAACTCATCAAATCTCATTCTGCAAATCTCGCGTAAACCGCCATTACAACAATTGACGAATTTCCTTTTGGACAGCTCATTTTTGACTTTTCAAAATGTACACTTTGCACGTTAAGCAACTATTATCATTCTGACTATTTATTTCAGACCATGACACAGAGTTTGGCACCATATACACAGTTGTGAAATACGACAACATGGAGCTTTATAATAATAAGTTTGACCTATGTACGGTGGATCCTGAACTCTTTGTATGCCCATTACTAAAAGGTATGTACCAAAGTTAGAAAAATAGTGTGTGTTTAATGA